TCTACTCTACTCTACTCTACTCTACTCTACTCTACTCTACTCTACTCTACTCTACTCTATTCCTTGTTCTATTATATCCCTTATTCTATTCTATTCTATTCTATTCTATTCTATTCTATTCTTATTCCTATTCCTATTCCTATTCCTTATTCTATTCTATTCTATTCTATTCTATTCTATTCTATTCTATTCTACTCTAGTCTACTTTAGTCTACTCTAGTCTATTCTTAAAATATAAGTAGGGAAAATGAGAAAAAAAATCTGGTAATTATTTCAGCACTGGACCTGTCCGTGTATTTACACCTAACTGTATTTTCATGATTATCTTATAAAGCCTTAGATCATACATGGGGCTAGGTATAAATTTATGAATCTAGAAATTGAATAAATACAGATAGATCATGACTTAAAACCATTCGTTCAGAGACTGCCTGAAGTTACAACAGTACTGAAAAAAAGTAACTTGTGACCGTTTTTCAGGCTTACCATCATTGCAAGATTCCCTAAGGTCACGTGATCTAAATTTGGACATTTGGCAACGGGCCCCTATTTATGACGGTTGCAGTGTCCTGGGGGTCACGCGATCCCCTCTTGCGACCTTCTGACAAGCGATGGGGAAGCCAGATTCGCTTAACGACCGTGTTACTAACTTAACAACTGCAGGGATTCCCCTCAGCAATTGTGGGGGGAAAAGGTCATAAAACGGGGTGAAGCGCTCAGCATACAACGGCCTTGCTTAGCGACAGAAATGTTGAGCTCAATTGTAGTTGTAAGTCAAGAAGTGTCTGTACTTACAGTACTTAACAGTAGCCAATTCTTGATTTTTCCTCCTCCTTTTTTTAGGTGGCTGGATTCGTCCCGCACTTTGCTACAACAAGAAGTAAAGGAACATGAGTGTTTATGGCTGCGCTTCAAGTATTACAGCTTTTTTGATCTGGAGCCAAAGGTGAACATACATACATACATACATACATACATACATACATACATACATACATAGTACTTATTTTAGGGAACATCAAATGTATATTTCTCCACTTGTTCCTTTTATTTAAGGCAGAGGTGGGCATCTGTGGCTCCTTTATGACTTGTGGACTTCCAACTCCCAGATTTTCTTTAGCCAGCATGGTCGTAAAGGGGCCATAACTGCCCACCCTTTATCTAAGGTATAATTGTTGTTGCAACAATCCAGGATCAATCAATCCCCGCTCAAGTCAACGATCAGATGACCCAACAAGGGGATATTTTGCAAGCCAAAGCTTCTAGTCCTCATGGCCAGGCGGGAAAGCATTCAAATATATTCATACATTTTGTTCTGGATTTCAGCATTGACGATAGGGAAAAGGCCCACCTGTGTGGCAATTTGGTGGGGGTTTTGTGTGTGTGTTTGTGTACTTTGAAAACAGCACTTTCAAAATTTCCTTCCCATTTCTAAGATTATTTCCCACAGTCAACTTAAGATGTGATTTGTCAACATTTCTCTCGGTTGCCAGGGAAGGGCATGAGGCATATCTGAAAGGGGGAATATATATATATATATATATACACACAGTATATTTAGCACATAGCATCCTTTTGAAAGGGAACAGAAAGCACGTGGTTTCAACAGCGTTGGGTAATACAAGCTGGTTTTTTTACAGAACTGCAAATCTTTTTATTTCCTGCCCATGTGGGAAGTGTGTTTCTTCTCCTTTTGTGCGAGAGAAAAAAAGGACAATCTTCCCCGTTCACAACGAGGCTGTGTTTGGAAAAGAAGATTTGGGGTCTTGACTTCATAGTTGTCATATTTTAAAGGGTGGGGGAATCTCTGAACTTGGTGTTTTCCTTGCAGGCGTTTTGTGACCCAACTAGATAACATCATCAGGGCAAGAAAAGAGTGGGACTTGCTCTCTGTTTTTATATATGTGGCCTGTCCTGTCAGTCTTGGTGGGAATGGACTTTGTGATTCCTTGATTGGGCTGCTGTTTACTGTTAGTTCCTTTGTCTGAGTTGGTAGTTGCTTGATTGGGGTATTGTTTGATTCTTGATTGTGAGAGCAAACCCCACTGCCTAGTAGCACTGATATTGTTATTTAGTTTGATAATGAAATATTTGTAAGAAATCAGCCAAAGTCAGAGACCACCAGGCACCCTACAGTCCTCCTCCTCCTCTTCCACCTTCCCCCACTGCGCTCCCTACTAGCACTGATGACGTTAATTAGCTTGGTAATGCAAAGTCTTCAAGAAAAGAACCGAGCTCAGAGAGCACCTGGGTCCTACAGTCCTCCTCCTTCTCTTTCTCTTCCACTCCACAATCCCCACTCCCTTCTAGCACTGATGAGGTTGCCTAGTTGGGTCCTAAAACCTCAAAAATCATCAAGCTCAGAGGACTCCACCTTCTTCTTCTTCTTCTTCTTCTTCTTCTTCTTCTTCTTCTTCTTCTTCTTCTTCTTCTTCTTCTTCTTCTTCTTCTCCTTCCTCTTCTTCTTCTTCCTCTTCTTCTTCTTCTTCTTCTTCTTCTTCTTCTCCTCCTCCTCCTCCTCCTCCTCCTTCTTCCTGCTCCTGCTTCTCCTCCTCCTCCTCTTCTTCTTCTTCTTCTTCTTCTTCTTCTT